AGTTTAGGGGTCTTACTCAACAGCATCTCATTTTACCTGAAGCTGTAGGAGTATGGTATTCTCATCCTCTTTTGGCTTTTCTTTGGAAAAACCTAGAACATTTTAGAGTGTAGTTTGATTCAGAATCTCAGCTACAGTCATTCAAAATTCTTTACCTCTCCTAGATTGTCTTAGATCATTATATATAAAGAATGTCTAATGTCACTATTGTACAATCAATTTTGGACTGCGAGCCCCACATGAGCACAATTATGACATTCTGACCAATCTATTACTAATGCCTGAAGCAGTGTGAAATTATGTAAGTGATCAGTGATTTGCAAACCCTGTACATAAAAAAACAGATTCATACAAGACACTATGTTGAAAATGAACTTTAATTTCAGGGGGGAAGGAAGAGAAAAAAAACAGATTCATGTTTGAAATGGAAGCTATTCCTACTCCAAAAATGTTCCCCATATATGAAAGAAAATGATTTCTAGCATCTTCAGGCATTCTTGACTTATAATTTCCCACTGAAAAAATTTAATGTTCTAAGTCCCTTGTACTTGTGAATTACAAAAACACTTAGATGAAATCATTACCATTCCTAAATCAATGGCTAAGAAATTGCTATGTGGAAGAGAGTGTCTTCGTAATTTGAAGATTGACCAGACCATAATTCTCCAAGTATCTCATAACCTTGACAACCAATGAAAAGTGTGAATAAACAGTTCACATCAACTGGCTAGCTTGTCTTACTACTTTCTCAGCTTGTTTTAGAAGTTTTGAAATTCTGCCATCTTTCTTTGAATAGAAAAAAAACAATTATTCTTAGAAATAGAAATTCTCAATTCAGTTGGCACATCCAATTAAGTATTCTAGTATCCAGAACAGCATTTCTGATTTTCTAAGATATATAATATTTCCAAGAAGGAGACAGGTTTTAGAAATATCCACAATGCTGCTATTATTTCTTGTTTGTATTCTGGAATTTCTATACTGTTTCCTACAACTACCAGTCTAATCATGATGTCACAGTTAGCATTACCTGTAGAGAAATGCAAGTAAAAACAAATATCCCTTCCTAATTATTAGGCAAAGTATCTGTGCAGCTACATTTCACCAAACTGTTTACCATATTGATGGTTTTATGACTCATACTCTGTTAAAATTCACTTTCTTTGTAAAACAATTATCCTCAGTTCATTAATTTAAGTTTGTATACCCAACGTGGTCCACTTATATTACTAAAATATAAAAACCTTAAAAATGTTTGACATAAGAGGTTAATTAATCCATTAGTATAAATATGAAATTAATGCTTTCATACCAAACAAATTATATACTATAGCTCAAAACTTCAAACATAAATGATATGCCACCTACTGCGTATTAGTTAAAAGGCTTCCCATCTGGATTTAGCTTGTAAATTAGTAGTACACATGTTATTAGTGATCAGTTTATTTTTTATTTTTTGTTCTCATTTTTTATTGTCAAGGTGTTGTACAGAGGGGCTTCAGTCACATAAGTAATGAGTACATCTTGTTACCCCTTCCCTCAATTTTCTTCTACTTTCCTTCCCCTCAACTCCCCCCTCCAAGTTGTACAGATCATTTCCAACATATTTTCTTGTGAATGTCATGGTTGCATTGGTTCCCCCCTTGTCCTTTGTCTCACCATTCTGTTGTTCCCCTTCCCTTCCTTACTTCAAATAAATGTATATTCAATACCAGGGTACCAAAATCAAATACATACACCAGAGAATATACCATAGGTGGAAGAACATACAAAAGAAACAAGAAATCACATAGTACATTAAACACAACAACAAAGAAAAACTTCTTTTGTCCATGTCTTGGAGTTCATTTCACTTAACATCATCTTATATGGTGATATATGCATAGCTATTGAGCTATTCTGCTCATCTGCTAACATTATCCTAGACGTATACTAATTATTGCAAATAAGGGAAAACATGGGACCTATTATTTCTTTAAATCTTTATACTCAATATAGAGTGCAACATGTGCAAAGCCCTAGGTTTGATTCCCAGCACTGCAGAATGAATGAGTAAATGAATAAATGTAATTTTAGAAGGAAAACAATAGCACAATCTATACTAGACATAGAATACTTGAGGCTGGGAAAGATAAGTGTGGAAATGGTATAAGGAGTGACATTGACCAAAATGCATTGTACTTCATGAATAAATATCTTGAACTGAAATCCTTTTGTACATCTATCTAAAGATACTTTAAAAAAGAGAACAAAATGAAACAAACATATAAATAAATATTTTAAATTTCAAAGTGTTGTGGTTTTTTAATTCAATTAGGTAAGATTAGTGGGTTAAAACAATTTTTAAGATTCTGTTATGTCATAAAGCACAAAAGATTCATTCTTTCAGAAGATATGAATAGTCGTCTTTCAAGCTTTTGGACTGACATCTCTATTTCCCCCTCCACATTTCATTGACCAAGATTGACCCAAAGATGACCCCCATTATCGACAGATCTTTTCCTTTTGTCACATCATCTTATTGGGTAAAAAGTTGGAGGGTAATAGAACGTGACTCAAGGTACTGAGTATAATTAGATTCAGTTATTTATGTTGGGTCTTCTCTACAATTAAGAGGCCAAACAAGACCTACTGCCACGTAAGACACGCTGGGCACAAGGAAAGGTAATGATTTTGACTGCCCAGAATGAGCCCTACCACAGTGGTTAGCTGGGATGGCATCAAAATTATCTATTTTTGGAGTAACATTGTCTTTCTTCTAGTCATTACTGCCGTTAAATATGGTTGAGCATCAGTATAATATTGATTTCTACTAAACTTTAGTTAGTGAGTGGTGTTTTGATCCAATTTGTTTTAAGTTTAACTGTGGGTTAAGTTCAAGTTTTGATACTAGGTAAATTAAGCATCATAAATTCTAAATAAGAAGGTATTTAAGACAATTAACCTATTCCTACAGACAAATGTGTAGGGTCAACTATTTAAGAAGGTGGGCCCATAATAACTAATCAAGATTGATCCATTAATTGCCTTCAAATTTTATTTCTAAACTAAAAAAAATCATAATTTTGTTACAGTACAAATGTTTTGAAGCATACTTTTAATATATGCAAGACAGCTAAATCATTCTCTAGCATCACAAAATGTCTTCTTACCAAATGATGAATATAAATGCAAGTATTTAATGGTTGAAGTAGCTAGTGAATAAATTATGGTTTTAGCAATGATTTCTGTCTCTGGTAAAAAGGAATGCATGCATCGTATTAAATTAAGATTCTGTAAGTTATCATAGAACTATTATTTTGTATTTAATGATTCTCTCTGTACTGGGGTTTAAACTCAAGGCCTCATATTTGTTAGGCTGGCATACTGCCTCTTGAGCCATGCCCCTAGCCATTTTTGCTTCAGTTATTGTTCGGGAGGGGCTCTGAATTTTCTCCTTTCTTTATTTTCTTATACTTTTCAACAAAATTGCCCATGGATGCTTTTTCTTTACTTGGAAAGTTTCTCTCCCTTTTAAACTCCGCAGAGGCAAGTCTCACCTTCGTAGACTTTGTTAATTCTCTTAATAGAAACTTCCTATTGGTAGAAAACTGATTTTATTGCAGTTCCTACTTTCTTTCTCCTTTCACTGATTTTTGTGTGTTGCAACACTAATCACTGAAGTTAATGCTGATTGTTGGCAAGACCTTGGTCAGATTTACCTAGATAATTTCAATATTTGGACTAAAATGTCATTCATAGCAGATTCATGATATAGATTAAATAGATACACTGTAGTCATTTTTCAATAATATTGTCAAAATATTCAGTTCAAAAATTATTTATTATAACTTCTTAAACCACTTTCGAAAGTAGAATGTAGGTTCCTCAAAAGACTCCACATAGAACTCGCCTATGACCCAGCAATCCCACTTTTGGGCATTTACCCAAATGATCACAAACAAGGCCATACTAAAGCTTCTAGCACAACTATGTTTATCACAGCATTATTCACCATAGCTAAGATGCCCCTCAGTAGATGAATGGAAATGTCACACACACACACACACACACACAATGGAATTCTATGCCTCCATTAGAAAGAATGACACTGCCCCATTTGTTAGGAAATGGAAAGACTTGGAAAAAAATATATTAAGTGAAGTAAGCCAAGCCCAAAGAAACATAAGTCCCATGGTTTCACTTATCTGCAATAACTAGTATATGTCTAGGACAAGCAGAAGAGGTCAAAAGCTATGTACATATGACCATATAACCTGATGCTAAGCAAAATGAACCCCAAGATAGAGACACAAGAGGTTTTATCTTTCTTGTTGTTCTTATTGTACTTATTGTTGTTCTTGTACTTGTTGTTCTTGTTGTACTTATAATGTACTATGTGATTTTTTTGTTTCTTTTGTATGTTCTTCCCCCATAGTATAACCCCTGTTGTCATCGTGTTTGATTCTGTATATATATACACATATATATATATACATATATATATATATGTGTATATATATATGTTTGTATATATATATATACATACACACACACATTTTTCCAATTTGGGGAGGGGAATGGAAATAAAAAAATTGCTGAAAGAAGGATACAGGATGACCCACTATAACAACGAGATGTACAAGACACTATGTTGAAAATGAACTTTACAACTTTGTGGTGGGAGTGGGGAGAGGGGTTAAGGGAGGAGTTGGGCAGGTGGGGAGGATAAGGATGGAAGGGGAAAAGCAAAGGAAGGGATAACAATGCTCCATAGGAAATGGACTCATTACCTTGCTCATGTAACCGTAACCCTTCTGTAAGTATCTTTACAATAAAAAATATATTTTTAAAAATTATTTGCTATAACTTTCATATTTCTAATAATTTGATAAAATAAATTACCTACATTGGCTAACATTGCTGTAAATGTGACTTTTTCTTAAATCAGAGCAAATATTGTTGCCAACTAACTCTTAAATTGCTGGTAATCATAATTTTTTAATTTATTTTTAGGTGCAATGATGAAGAGTTTTCTTCTAGCTGTGAATATTTTGGCATTAACTTTGCCTTTTTTGGTGAGTTAATTTCATAGAATTAGCAGTTAGATTTTAAAATAATTTAATTAAGAGCTCTAATTACACAAATTTCTAAGTAGTTACACTTCAAAGAAAAAATAGTTGCTTTTGTACTTATTCTATTATAACCTCAATGTTTTGTCTGGATATCCACCAAGTTACCATACATAACTAAGGAATCTCACCTCACCATTACAGACTTTCAATTCCTATTCCATAAAAAAATACATTCTATAGGAAATACTAACATACTTTAGATTATAAAATGTTCGAAAGACAATTTCTGGTGAATAAACACAGTATCTGAAATTCTTTTAATTGACTTTCTAATTTCAGTCTTTTTGAGTGCTCAATCTTTTTAAAAGACCTTACAGACTTTAGTTCTCAGTTTTCATCATGCCTTTTTCTGTACCTTCCCAGGCTGCTCAAGTTCAACACCAGGAACCAGCAGTAAGTTTTTGCTATTTATCTCTGCTTAACTGCAAAGCATAATAGTCTACAAACCTTATGATATTTACATGCCTCCTGTTTAATAACTAAATATTTTATTTTATCAACTACTTTCAAAGACCTTTGCATTATATTTCTGGGTAACAGTTCTGTTTATATTGATAGTGTGAGTTATACTCTTTCCCATTATGCCAACTAGCTGATTTCTTCTCAGGGATTCATATACATAACTGCCTTGAAGACCAGCAGATGCTATCTTGAACTGCATGCTCTAATATAGGTAGATTACAAGACGGTTCTGTTCCTTTTATGACCTGTAGTTCAACCATACAGCTCTAGCTCTGAGCAAAAGAAGCTCAAGGACAACTCCCAGTCCCTGAGTTCAAACCCTAGTACTAGTGTACACACACACACACATACACAAAATTGAATACAATATACCTGATACTTTAAAGGTATTTTGAAGCCAAACCAGAAAAAATAAAATAAATAAGATTTAAATTTTGTTAGGACTTTTTTTCACTGTTTAATCTTATTGTTTCTTTTTCTGTAACTCCCCAGGCTTCAAAAGTTCAATATCAAGAACAAGTAGAAGTAAGTTTACTTTATTTCTGTTAGAAATATGAAATCTAAAGATAATATTCTGCAAAATAAAATTCTGCTTATTAAAATGCATTCTATATCAAAAACTGAATAAATATCTCCACAAAATAATCTAATAACCTTTTAAGTATTTTAACCGCGGATAATATGGAGCAAACTTGATGTTGACCTGCAGATCTGTTTCATCACGTACATGTATGCCTAACAATTAGAACACTATCTCAACACTATCTTCAACAGTTGTTGAAGGAAAATGAAAACATAAGTAAGGAATAATATCTCTCTTATCCATATATTACTTGTACATGGGGATTTCTCTGTGACATTGTCACACTTGCTTACGATGTAACTTAATTTAACTCACTCCTACCTCACTCTACCTCATCCTCTCTTCTCAAATTAATTTCAGTGGGTTTCACTGTTCTATTTGCATACATAAATTAGACTATGTTCACCCTCATTCATCCTTTCCATTGGCCCTCTCTCCTCACACTGGTACCATCCCCACAACCTGTTTTACATTCATGCCATTATTTAGTACCTATTAATTGGACAAAAGGGTTTTATCGTGATATTTTATAAATGTATATGTTATATTTTTAATGACATGAACTCCTTCTGTTGCTCCCAATTTTCCCCCTAACCTCAGTATTACTTTATACATCTTGATTGAGCAAAACCTCTCCTTTAATAGTTCTCATATGCCTGTATTTCTTTTTCCCTTTTGTTTACAACATATGTTCAAATGAATTCATTTGACTATATTTTTATAAGAAATAGTCTGCAGCGTAACGTTGTTGATTCGTTTCTATTGATAGGAGGTCTATCAATAGGGTTTGGGGGGTTCTTTTGTTGTTGCTGTTTTCTGTCAGCTGTGGGGCTTTAACTCTGGGCCTGGGTGCTGTCTCTTGGCTCTTCAGCTCAAGGCAAACACTCTACTACTTGAGCCACAGCACCACTTCCGGTTTTCTGGTGTTTAATTGGATATGAGTGTCATGGACTTTCTTGCCCGGGCTGACTTTGAACCACAATCTCTGCCTCCTGAGTAGCTCGGATTACAGGTGTGAACCAGGCACCCAGCTCAATAGGATTTCTTAAAGAAAAAAATCCAAAGTTTAGGTTCTAATATCTTAATCTTTTCCATAATAAGATTAGCAAAAATAAAATTTCTCAGGCTCATCTATAAGTGTATAAAATCTGGGAGCGATTACAAAGATGTTGTGATTAGATATCCGTATCTGCCGGCCTGGGCATGTTGTGTGGGCTTCGGTACATGTCAAAGTTCTGTATGAACGTTTTCTAGGTATTGTACCTACAATGGCCAACATTTACTTAACACTAAGTCGTTTCATGCTAATTTAAGATGTCTATACATTTTTATTATAATAGTGCTTTCTATATTATTTACTCTTTTATAGTGCCATAAGAATGATGGAAGACTGTTTGAACAGAAGAAAGTCTTATATATCCCTATTCATTATGTGCTAAGAAACAATCCCCTGCTTCAGCCTAATTTCTACCAACGTATCGTACCAATTAACAGCCCATACATGCCTTTTCCATATTATGCAGTTAACAACCTGCCTTACACATATTCCACAAAACAACTTCTACTTGGGCCACATGTCCAAATCGCCAAATGGCAAGCTCTGCCAAACATCTTTCAGCCTACAACAGAACACCAAACATTCCAACATGCATCATTCATTGCCACTCCCCCACAGAAAAATCAGGATGAAAACACTGTCCTTCCTATTGATAATACTGCTACTGTTGAGCCCACACAAGTTTCGGCTACTGAGGTGGCAGCACATATTGTAGAGATTCCACAAGCTTCCTCAGAGTTGGACAACACTCCTGAGACTACTGTGGTCCCAGTTACTCCAACTGCAGCATAAAAATCTTAAGGAAACATCAAACAAGACAATACAGGTAAATAAGCAAACAATAAAAATGCAAAATTCAGAACTCTGAACTTTTGTAATTTTGGTTGCTATTTTAAAAACTGATCAAGTTGTAAACTATAGCAATAAAGTAAAATCAACAACTACTAGAATTTATTTATATCCAATTCCCTAGGTCTTCCCTAAATAATGAGACATCTTCATAATTATTTGAAATAGACTTCATTTTTATCTCAAATTTAGGAATTAAAAAAAACAGGCCTGAGAATCTTTACAAATAGGAATTACCAAATGGGTTCATACCAATCTTGTTTAACTTTAGATAATGGTGCTTGATTACCATGCCATCTATTTTCATATAGATTCTCCAACTTGCAAAAAAAAATTGTAAAAAACACACTGCTATTTCATTAAGCTGACATACATATAAATTCTATGATTTAGTTATTTAACAGCACATCTGTTAAGGAAAAATGGTAGGGTACTGTTTACCTACTTTGGCTTATAATAAATTTTAGAAAATAAAGGGAGAAAATGGGAAGAACATGTACTTATATATTTTATTTTTTTGTACTTATATATTTTATTTATCCAAAAATATAACATAATTTGGTTTTAATGAAGTAATTATTATTCAAAAGTATGTTTAAAATTCTTGTGTCTAGATTCTTGGATTAAAGCCAATGTATGTCACTTATAAAGAAGTAAAGAACAATGTCTTGGTATAAATACTAGGTAAAGTCTATTTTCAGCTCACTATATGCTGATTTTAAGTACTTTAAATGAAATGTTCATTTCAATAAGCTCTGGATACAAAACTAAATGTAAGACTACTAACATCCTGTGAACTAAATTCTTAACCTGTTATTTTTTATAGGTCTTGCTGATACCTAATTATTCTTCGGATTCTCCTTCAACCATTTATTTGCCTTATTCAAAAGAAAGTGTGGTTTTCATTTCACAGATTCAACTGTTTTTCTTCTTCTATTTTACACCCATATCACAATTAAATGTTTGATTCTTGCACAATAAAGTCAATAGAAAGCAACTGAATCTCTTGAGAGGAGTCTTTAGAGATATCAGGATCTTTGGAGCCTTTCTATTCCAAATGCATAGGAAAGGAAAGCCTCCTGTTTGTGTTTGGGTTGGGTTGGGTTTAGGATGGATTGGGTTGGATGGAGGGTTGTGTTGTGTATTTGAGGATACGGAGGACTGAACTCAGGGATTTATACATATTGAGTGGATGCATGCTACCAAGCTCATGCTGAGTCTGACAGTCAACATTTTTATTGGCTCTTCTACAGAAATACACACATTTTGTAATTTAGTTCATGGGAAAATAAACTTTAAAAAAATATGTACCAGGCCTGGTGCTGGTGGCTTATGCCTAAAACCCAAGCTAAGCAGTAAGCTGAGATCTGAGGATAAAAGTTTGAAGGCAGCCTGGGTAGGAAAATACAATTAATTATCAAAGATAAGCCAGAAGTAAAGCTGTGGCTCAAATGGTAAAACACTAGCTTTTAACAAAAGAAGCTCAAGGATAGGTCCTAGGCCCAGAATTCAAGCCCCAGAGCCAGGACCAAAAAACAAAATTTACAAAAAGACTGGTCTGTCATTTACACTAAAATTTACCGTGGATTTGAGTATACAATTTAACTTGTGAGCAGAAGTCATAGTTTCATCTACTTACCAAAATGATCTATGATATAACACTGAACTGAGTCTCTATGGTGACACCTGGAACATTTCATCTGGGACCAGAGAAAAACTAAGGCATGTGTTTGAATCCACAGGATTACAGATATTCTGGGAATACTATAAGTGCTCAAATGAAAGTCTAGAGCATTCCCAAGAGCAAATTCTGAGCACAGGAAACATACAGATGAAAGTCACAAATATAGATACCTGGCAGTATTATTGGAGTTGATGGACTCTAAACATGACTAACTTCCTCTAAAGTAGGAGCCACAGTCTCATACCCAATGGATCCAAACAGCTTGTATCTAAATAGAGAACACGCACACACACACACACACACACACACACACACACACACACACACAGTCCACAAAAGACCAGGAAAGTTTCCTGTTGATCTTTGTAGTATAATCTTCCTTCCCACATAGCTTAAATAACCAACATGTACCATGTGTCACTGCAACCAGAATTTTGTTGAGTTATGATCTTAGGAACTTTTCTGCCTGGGCTGGCCTTGAATGAAGATATCTCAATCTCAGCTACCCAAATAGCTAGGATTAGAGGCATGAGCAACAGTATCTGACTTACCAGAAACTGTTGAAGGCAACATTAAACTCTTAAATAGTCCAATGAGTAAGTGTTTCCTTTTCGTGTACTCATTTCCCATACAAAACAACTTATTATTCTGAATCATTCATCACAAAAGTGAAAACACCACTAATAACTGCTCCCTATAGAACAATAAAAGTCCAATAGTCTTAGTCATAATATTTTAGTTATAAAACTGAAGGGAGAGATATTTATTCAGAGAATTTTGGAACTGAACACGGCTTCTACACTTGAAGAAAAATTTGACCCATAAGGATTCTAGAAGCCTATAAATTTCTCATTCAGGACAAAAAGTATTTAAGTTATTCTTGTATTGTGAAGCTCTGGGAGATCAAGACAATCTCCTCCAATGGAGCAACTCTCTATCTTGCATGCACAATATCAACTGATGCTTTTAGAACCACCACCACCGAAAGTACACACTCATTAGCAAAGTACCAAGGTTAATTGCACTAAAATGTCTTGTACCAAAACCACCAATGTCCTTGAATACTTCTATGTCCTCTGTAAAATAAGTAGTTAGTTTAGGTCAGTATTCAGCCCCACCTAAACTGACTTTTCTATTTCCTATCACAGATTCCTCCTTTCTTTCAACAAGATGGAGTCAATATAGTTATAAAAATAATAATAGTAAAGGTCATTTTTTCCTCAGGCTATGCATCTAGATTTATTAGGTTTTGGTCCTAAATATTTTCATAGAAGATTTTTAAATCAATATTTTCAAAACATTTTGTATCTTTTTATATACTCTCACTGTTGTTGACTAAACTGCTTCCCCAATTTTTTCTTTGATATCGCAAATGATAGCTCCAACATTTGTGTTTATTATTTGCTCTTTTCTATCCTCTCAGAAATTATATATTCTAAGCATTATAGGTAATTAATACTAAGTTCCAAATTTTCAACTTAAGTATGAAATCATATATTTTCTTCCTGTCCAACAGTCACTAGAAAATAGATAGGGCCAAGTGTGCCCCCTTTAGGCTATTTTAAACATAAAGATGGCTACTTGATTTTGGAGCTGTCTGACCAATCACCTCAAAGATTGTTGAATGTTGGTAATCTATCTTATGTTTATAGACAAATTACTCAGAAAAGAAATTAAAAACAGAAAAATCATTTAACTAATGAATCATAACCATGAATAAGAATAAGATGGCAATAAAAATAGAATATAAAAGGAATTTTTTTAATATTAGAAATAAAATAAGGAGGGCTGGGAAGGTGGCTCAGTGGTAGAGTGCTTGCCTTGCATGCATGAGGCCCTGGATTCAATTCCTCAGCACCACATAAGCAGAAAAAGATGTAAGTGGCACTATGGCTCAAGTGGTAGAGCACTTGCCTTGAGCTGAAGAGCTGACAGCACCCAGGCCCAGAGTTCAAGCCCCATGATGAGAAAAAAAAAACCCACAAGAAATAAAATAAGGAAAAAAGAAATAATATATCCATCTCAGGTACATTATGAAAATGATAAACTGAAAATAACCGGTTAACTAAATAATACTCTGTGATCCAGTAACTTCACTCCTGAACATTATTCCAAAAGAATAAAATGAGAATACCATACTCATTGCAGCACTATTCATCATAGCAAAAATAATTAGCCCAGATAACCCTCAGTGGATGATTGGATAAAGAAAATATTACACACACACACACACACACACACACACACACACACACACACAATGGAATTTTACTCATCCATTAGAAAAAATTTCCATTCCATTTTTTAAATTTTATTTTATTGTAAAGATGCTGTACAGAGCCGTTACAGTTACATGAGTAAAGTAATAGGTACATTTCTTGTCAAACATTGTAAGAAATTTTCTTTTGTTTGGACAAAATCATGCTAAGTAAGTCAATTCCAGAGAGGAGAAGGAAGTATGTTTTCTCTCACATATGGAGGCCAGAATTAATTTATAAATATATAAAAAGATACTTCATGGTAATATCCAAGTATACAGGTGACTAACTGAAACATGGTACCTACAGCAGAGAACTCAAACTGATGTCATTCCTTAGAAAGGCTAAATCACAGTCCAACTAAATAAACACCAGGAATTGGGTATTCAAAAGTGCGAGGGGTGGGGGGAATAAAGGCAAGGGGAGTAGACAAATGAAGAGATAGAAGGTGGAAAAGTAGTCATAAAATTCAATACATGTACTACAAAATTAAGAAAGTTGAGAGAAGGGGTGGGGCTGGGAGGGATGGGAAGAACAATAAAGGAGTTGTACATCTCCTTGTACCACTTCTTAGTGACAGCAAAATTTTAAAAGTCAGGCCAAGTGAGAGATAATGGCTTGCAGGAGGGGTGAAAATGTATATTTTTAAGGACTTCCTTATAACTAGATTTGAAAGAGAAAAGGAAAAGATTAAAGTTTTTGGAATGAGAACTTGAAAGAATGGAGAAAGTTGCAAGTATTGATTAAAAGGGGAAAAAAAATCAGGAGTTCCACGGGAAAAGAACAAATTTGAGACATCTCTTTGATCATTTAAATGGTAATATCAGCAAGACAGTCTTGAGTGTAAGAAATAAGTCAAGAACAGTAAAAGTTTATACTTAAAAACTTAATAGAGCAGGGCGCCAGTAGTTCACGCCTATAATCCTAGCTGCTCAGGAGGCCGAGATCTGAGGATCCCGGTTCAAAGCCAGCCTAGGCAGGAAAGTCCACGAGACTCTTAT